ATGCTCAAGTTTTTTTTTTGTTTTTTTGCCGCTGGTTTTTATGATGTTTCCAAAACATGTTATAAGACCAGTATTTAGTTATATAAGTTCCGCGTCTTGCGCTTTTTAGGTTATATAAATGTATGAAATGACGTATATTACAGTATTATTGATTCTTTACGTAAGTCATTAAAAAGTATTTTCAACTTCTTTATGACAAGCCGTGTTGCTTGGGTTGGTTTGACCAGGAAATTGAAACTCCGTTCATAGTGACTATGTGACTACTACTAGGTTTCAGAAAGGAAGCTCTAGACTTATGTGGAAATTTTTCGGAAGCGTTGGGAGAAATCTTCCATTTTTGTAAATAAGAAGAGAAAATATCTAAACTTTTCTACAGTCTGCTGCAAATAACACGAAGACTTCTTCCTGTAGCGGAAATTCCTGTGTCATCAGCGAACGAAGATTTGTGGCAACCCTGAGGCAAATCAGGGAGGTCCGAAGTGAAAATGTTATACAATATAGCCCCAAGAATGCTATCCTGAGGCTCTTGCTTTAACATGTAGTCGTTCAGATTTTGATAATTTACCTGCAATGTTCTGTCAGTTAAATATTTTTGTTTTTTTTTTTATTATTATTATAGTCACTTTAACACTCTTGGGTCATTCATGACTTGTCCGGGGGTGAGATTTGAACTCGTGACTTTGGCGTGAGAGGTAAGGATGTTAACCACTACGCCGGGGTCGCCCCCAGTTAAATAATTTTGAACTAATTTCATAATATAGAGCGGAAAATTAAACGAAACTACCTTAAATCATTTCAATTAATGATTTCTGTAAAAATTCCATTTTAGGAGCAGTAATACTTCCTAAGTCAAAATTTTCAAAATTTCCGTTAAAACGTTGGTTAGTATTTTGATTTCTACCTGGTACAATAGCAGCATAGGTAGCTCCATTTACTCGCTGAATATTGTTAGCAGCGAGGGGAGTAGGTATAGATGAAACATTTGAAGCAGGGGTGATATTTGTACCTACGGGTACGAATGTAGAATTTGTTCCTCGCTGACCGTTGTTAATAGCAGAGGAATTTTTACCCGGTCGGAAACGTGGAGCGAGCGCTTTGCGAGTCTTACATTCTTAAAAATTGGATTTGTGGTTTTCACCACAATTTGAACATTTAAATTTCTTAGGATCTTCCTTCACAGGACAGTCGTCCTTTGCGTGAGAGGAATCACCACAATTCATGCATTTAGCTGGCATGTAGCAATTTTTAGTTCCGTGACCCCATCCCTGGCACTTACGGCACTGGGTGAGGTTTTGGAACTTTCCTCCAGTCTTCCTGAAGTGTTCCTACTTCACTCGGACATGGAGCATAAGACTAGCTTTTTCTAAGGCCTTAAGGTTGTTTAGTTCACTAGACTTGAAGTGAACTAAATAAAAATCATTAGAAATCCCGTTGCGCGAATCGCCAGGACGGGATTTCATTTTCATTTTGATTTCTTGGAGTGGCACAGCTCCAAATAATTTTGCCAGTTCATCTTTGATCTGATCCAGAGATTCACCACTGGGCAGTCCTTTCATGACAACCTTGAACACACGTTCAGTTTTGGTGTCGTAAGTAAAAAAATTGTGCTTCTTCTCAGTAAGATACTTGAGAAGACATTTAAATCCGTCCAAAGTTTCAGCCAATACACGGCATTCACCCGACGTCCAATTTGTAGTGAAAACTTAACTTTCACGAAATTCAAAAGTTCCGTGCGAATACCATGGAAATCGGAAGTGGTTATCACAATAGGGGGAATGTTTTCCTTCTTGGCATTAAGCCGGGTAAGTTTACTAGAATTTTTCCTGGATGATTGATCATTCTCATCATCCGTGAGCAATTCAAATTGATTGCTCAAATTAATTTCATCAGAAGGGGGATCAAGAGTTTGCCCTTTTCTTTTGTGCTTAGGCGCCATAACGGCAGTAAATTTTTATCCAAATCGACTTCCAAGCAGATTACTATAAGAATCTGAAGGATCGAAGAGGAATTTTCCAAATCGATATCCAAGAAGGATTACCACGGGTAGGGTCCAAACAGGGATCGAAGAGGAATAAGAGTCGAACAAGGTAGACATTTTATAGGTAGAGCACTTCCTTCAGAAAAAAAGCAAATACATCTGCACGGCAAGAGAGCACGATGCGGACTAATTGGGAATGGGCTCATTGAACAATCTGCATCAAAGATGAGGACGTTATCATCAATCACCATTTCCATATCAAGCTAATTGACTTCGGATTGGCGACTTTCGGACAAGAAGGGCAACTTTTTTTTCTACCTTCTACGGGACGTCCGAGTACTGCAGTCTGGAAGTGATGGTAGGCAACCGCTACTCCTGCCCTGAACTAGAAATGTGGGCTCTCTGTGTGACACTGTACGTGTTGTTGTTGTTTGAGAACCCATTCGTGAACGTTGATTAAATCCGTTGACAAGAATCCCAAAACTCGGATCACCATCCTTCTTCTTCTTCTTCTTCTTATTCGCATTTCAAGCTTATTGCTTAGCGCATATTAGCTTATTGCGTGCTCTCAACTTAGTGTTCTAAATGGACTTCCACAGTTATTATTGAGAGCTTTCGATGCCAATACCAATGCATGAATTTGTATATTGTGTGGCAAGCACAATGATACTCTATGCCCAGGGAAGTCGAGAAAATTTCCAACCCGAAAGATTCCCTCGACCGGACCGGGAATCGAACCCGCCGCCTCCGGCTTGGTAATACCGTGCCTTTACTGACTAGGCTATGAGGCCCCACAATCACCATCCAGGAACTACTAATGGAGGCGGAATGGATGACGCAAGAAATCAATTAGTCACAGTTCAATTTTCCCAAAATCATCCCCTGCTAACCTAACCGTACGAAATCAATCCGTAGAAGTGCTACGTAGATGCAAATATCTGCTCCAGCCAGACGGGACTGTCCCCGTCGTCGCAGAGCCTTTCGATATTGGATGATGTCGATGGGGAACATGAGGATGAGCATGTCCAATGTCGAATAAATCAGAAAATTTATTTAAAAAAAATTTATTTAAATAATACATTTTTGGATTCATTTTTAATGATTTTTATTCGGGGACTGAGGTTAAAATGTTTCTATTTTAATCAATCCTGAACTAGTCCAAGTTGAGCGTTAAATGCTTCCGGGTAATTTGGCTGGTTGGTGGTTCTGTTGGTGTGCCGGATAGTGCATCTATGTCTGGAGCCTTACAACAGGCAATGTTAGTGAATGTTTTGCTTCGAAATCCGTGAAAAATATGGAAGTCAATACAGAAGTACATAAACTTCCCAATTCCGTAGCAGTTTCTGTACTCCTGCGTTGGCCTTCAAACATAAATATTAAATCCACCCGGTCGTCGTCGTGATGTCGGCATCTTCCGTTGCTCCGGTTGTGGATCATAGCAGTAAGGGTGAATTCCGCAGGCTCCGGCGAAATTATTTTTTGCGGGTATCGAAAATCTGTCAACAATCAAATTTTGACACATCCTCACTGAGCATGCGCAGAAATAATGCAGTGATGTTAGTTACTTTAGAGATCACAAAAAAATATGTACCATGGGTGCCAAATCAGTTAGCCATGGTGTGCCCTACTGTGTTTTTGGCACACTGTGCTGAACCCTCTGGTTGGAACTTTATAAACACTGTATGGAACTTGCAACTTGGGTTGCAAGCTGCAACCCATCCTAATGTACATACTTGGAAAAATGGTAATGATGCAAAACGTAACAAAACATTTAGGTACTTTATTTGAAAATTCATTGGGCATCCTCTTTGATCTCCTTATTAATTGTATATGAAACAGTAGGGTATAAGTTGCTGAACGAAATTACGTTGAGTTCAGCTGCTAATACCTGCTATCCTCCAAGATACACCCTTATAAAAATAGTGTTAAAAAAAAAAATTGATGTAAATCCTTTACACAAAGAGATAGCGATATGCTTCCTGTAGAATAAATGTGTAGTTATAGAGCATTTATTACTTTGTACAATATTGAAAAAAAAATTGGGAAATTCAAACAAAATAGTTATGGTAAAACATTTATTACCCTAAGCAACCAAAAGATTCGTATTCAACGAGTATTCGAGTTCCATAAAGTTCGAATAAAGTTTCGACAGAAATTTCAAGTTACATAAAGTTAAAATAAAGTTCAAACAAAACATTCAAATTCCATGAAGTTCAAATAAAGTTCCAACGGGACTTTCTTCCAACTTGCGTATTCAACTATAACACCCACATTCAAGTTCCATAAGTGCACATAAAATTTCAACGGAACTATCTGGCTGCTTTAGAGGCTATAGAAAGCACACGAGGAACTTTAGTTCCGATGCGTACTCTTAGCAACTTGAAGTTCAAAAAAAGTTCCAAAAAGCATCCCTAAGTGCTTAATAGGAACTTCATGCGAGGCTGGAAGCATGGCCCCAATAAAGTTCCCAGTGGCATCTCCGGCGGCATCTCCATAGAGGACCACTTGTCGTTTTGGATGCCCGGCAAACTCAAAACCCCAGAGCGAGTTCAGTCTAACGCAAAGGATTGGAACGCGCTAGTAGACATTTAGTGCTTAGGATTCAAAAGAAAGCACGAAATCCAACCGAACGAAAACTAATCAGAAACCGTCTTTCTACCGGAGCAAATGCACTGGGCGACCTGTTCTCATCACAGGTCAAGCTCTTCCCCAAACACAAAATCTACAAGCTTCAGGACAAAAATTGTGGACTGAGATTCCCAAGGAGTCCGACTTGGAGTAAAAGTGAATTGGGATAGTGCATGTCGTTTCGAATAGTAACAGTGAACATTTGTAGCATTTGAACTTCATGCTACATTAATTTAATATCTAATCAGAAAACCGCATCACGATAGACCGTAAATAGGCAATTACGACAAAGTAGCACTCAACCCTTTGGTTCACTTCAATAGTCGGACCCTGTAGGCATCAAATCAGTACTAAGTCAATCTCTTTGCTTTTCTCTTTCTACCCCATCCAACAGTTTTCATCGTCCCGCAGCGGGTGATTCTGGCGATCTTCGGCTTCCTGGCGATTCTCAATGCCTACACGATGCGCATCTGCCTGTCAATCGCCATCACCGAGATGGTCAACAAGACGACCTCGGTCGAGCAGGACGAGGGCGTCTGCCCGATCGATGACGATGCCGACATGTCCGACTTTACCGGCGGCGAGTTCAACTGGGATGAGCAACTGCAGGGCATCATTCTGTCCTCGTTCTACTGGGGCTACGTGGTAACGCATCTGCCCGGTGGTCTTCTGGCGGAAAAATTCGGCGGCAAGTGGACCCTCAGTTTGGGCATCCTGTCGACGGCGTTCTTCACGTTGATAACACCGTGGGCGGTGAACTTGGGCGGTTCGACTGCGCTGATCATCATCCGAGTGCTCATGGGTCTAGGCGAGGGAACGACCTTCCCGGCTTTGAGTGCACTGCTGGCGACGTGGATTCCACTGAAGGAGCGCAGCAAGCTCGGTTCGCTGGTGTTTGGCGGAGGACAAGTCGGTACGATTCTGGGCAATTTGATCTCCGGCTATCTGCTGCACAGCTTCGATGGATGGTCGTCAGTGTTTTACTTCTTCGGAGCAATGGGAATTTTGTGGTTCATTTTGTTTGTAAGTTTGAACGAATTATGGAACGAGTGGTTTGAAATTCTGAAACATTTTTTCCTATCATTACAGACCCTGCTCTGTTATAGCGATCCGGAATCGCATCCATTCATCAGTGACAAGGAGAAGGTTTACCTCAAAAAAGAACTGGGAACACTGACGCGTGACAAGTCTCTACCACCGACCCCGTGGCGCCTTATCCTGACGAGTGTACCGATGGTAGCATTGGTATGTGCTCAGATTGGTCACGATTGGGGCTTCTTCATCATGGTGACGGATCTTCCCAAGTACATGAGCGATGTGCTACGGTTTTCAATCAAAGACAACGGTCTGTTCTCCTCGCTGCCCTATCTGGTGATGTGGATCGTCTCACTTTCATCCGGAGTTCTGAGTGATTGGTTGATCTCGACCGGAAGAATGTCGCTCACGTTCGGCCGAAAACTGTTCACTACTATTGGTAAGTAGATCTTTGGAGATTGAAATGAATAAAGATTAATCGATTGTTGATTTTTTGCAGCTTCCGCTGGACCTGCTTTCTTCATTGTTGGAGCTTCCTATGCCGGTTGCGATCGTGCTTTGGTGGTAGCCCTCTTCACAATAGCCATGGGTCTCATGGGTACCTTCTATCCGGGAATGAAAGTCAATCCACTGGATCTGAGTCCGAACTACGCGGGAAGTTTAATGGCCATCACGAACGGTATTGGTGCCATCACGGGAATCATCGCTCCGTACGTGGTGGGAATCATGACTCCGAACGTAAGCCCAAATCCTATCTTCAAACACCTCGTCATTCAAATAACGCGAACTCTCTCTTTTAGCACTCCTTGGAAGAGTGGCGTATCGTCTTCTGGATTTCATTCGCCGTATTCCATGTGACCAATCTGGTTTACGTGTTCGGAGCATCCGGAGAGGTTCAGCCCTGGAATACGCCTCACCTCATGAACAAATCCGTAGAAGCTGGCGATGAGAATCAAGATACCTTCAGCAAGAAGGAAACTCCAGCTGCCATCAAAGCATCTCACTAAATAAAACCTAGTGCAGTTTAATAGTTGTTATACCGTAATTTATTCGACTTAGACATAGTAGGATCCGTTTAACAGTACCAAGTGCTGGGAATTTAAAATTTATGTAGGACGAAACCAGTGATAGATGATCGATGGGTAGCGAGATTTCGTTGCCACTCTGAACGAATAGATGAAGAAAGTCACTATTAGCTTGTACCTTTACAGTAACAGAGTATAGTTAGCGTTTTGTACATAAAGGTTGCTTTCTCCAGGCGAAGTATAACGAATTTAGTAAAACCATGTGCTGTGAAGCCGGCGGAAGTCTGACCATTAAGCACATTCCAGCGAATTTCAGCGAATGAAGCAATGCAATACAAACTTACTCGTAGTTAACCGAAGGCCGGTGTGACATTGAAACTGCACTCGCTCTAAAGTCAAGAAGTTGTGTGCATTTCACTGTCAGTCGCATGCATTTATGCAACCACATAAAATAACCCGCATAAGCCAAACATACAAAGCTGACGAAGGTGATGACAACAGCAAAAGTCGGGTACGGTTTTTGCGTGCCGGACGGAGTTGATGACACTTTTCAAGGAACCACTCACTTTAACGACGACAACGACAGCGACTAGATAATTTTGCTGCAATTTTCCCGCCAAAGCGTTCGTTCTGAATGCGCGAGACTGGAATGGGAAGAAGTATGCACAATTCATGCTCAATTTGTTGCAATGCATGTGTGCATACCAACTGATCCCGCGTAGACGGCGGCGGTCTGAACGATTAAAAATTGAGAAGAGGTCGACGGTGGAGGAAGAGAAAACCAAGGGCCACTGAACTGAAAATGTTCCAGTTTTTATCGATGTATGTTTTTTTTTGTACTTTTTAAGAACGATGTTGAAAATAAAACCTGTAATAAGATGGATGTAAGATCTACTATTGTTTTGAGTTGTTGAGATTGGATGACCTAAGCAATTTGCTCCCACTAAATAATGCAATAAAGTATATAACGTGATAGTATCATGAAGGAACAACGTTGCATTTACCAGAAAATGCTAAATATGCAAGACAGCCTGTTAACTACTTAATTTTGCTAGCTGTTTTTTAAATAATTTTAAAATTGTTACTTATGGCAACAATCTCTTCAAAGATTTCATTGACATTGACGAATTCAGAGAGGCCAATTTTGTAATAATAATTTGCTTACTGTTTGTGTTCGCTAGTGGATTTATGTGTTGGAAGTCCATACTGTGCATCAATAGAAACAATTGAATGTACTCTAAAAATCAAAAAAAAAAAAAAAAATACCTATAAAAACAGGCAGATGTGCCAAAATTTGAGTTATGTTAAGAGTTAGCTCGATAAAAAAGTAGTGAAGACACCTTAAATAAGTATAATTACACAAGTAAACTTAAATTTAGTATCCATAGAACATGAGAACTAATCAATAAAAAAGATAAAATGTCCCATAAAAGAGTTATGAAGTGTGAGGTTGTAAACCAAGACACAACTGTAGATTTGACGTAGTATTAAGAAAGGTAGTTTTGATGTCACAGCAAAAGTGTAGTAAGTATTAAATTGATTTCTCAGCTCATTATTAGTTAAAAAATTCATTCAGTGGATCAACATTCTCTGCTTGAACGTCAAGCAGTACAGTTCGGTCTTTGCTCGCTCTGTCGAGTTGTTCGATAAACCTATAGTTTGTTACATACGTTCGCAGATATACTGCACGTCGCGTCGTCAGTTGTGTCGGTCGCGTCAGACAGCGCTCCCGAAGCAGACTTCGTGACCAAGCGGAGAAGAAGAACAGTGGTGAGGGTAGCTCGGTACCTACCTCCCATTCGCTACTCTTCCCACCGATGTTGGGAATACCAACCCAGTCCCGGTGAAGCGGACGAAAAAGAGGAAGAAGAATCAAGGACAGTCGGATGGTACGAGCGGACGCGACGATGTTACCGAGACCAACGCCAGCGACATCGGTGATTTCGGCGACGCCGTCGACAACGAAACTGGTACCAGCCCGAGTGCAGCAAAAATGAAGCTTCCTCCACTGGTGGTGAAGCAAGTCCTACTCAACACGCTGATTGGCGATCTCTCATCGCTGGGCGTTGCAGCTGAGTTTATGCTCGGCAGGATCGGCACCAAGGTGATGCTCCGAACGAAAGCGGGGGTACGAAGTGGCCGTGAAATATCTGAAGAATTCCAAGGCGGAATTCTTCACGCACGACATCCCCGGTGAGAAGCCCTTCAAGGTAGTCATCAGGGGTCTACCAAACTTTGACCCAAGATGGTCGAAGCTGAAATCAACCGGTACAAGCTATCCCCAATCGCTGTCTTCTGAATGACAAGGAGAGACAAGCTATCTGATCGATCTACTTCATCATCGTACGGTGGGAGCCATACCGTGGCGGCCATCGTGACGTAACGCAGTGCCAGCGGTGCCTCAATTTTGAACACGGTACCTGCAACTGCAACATCAAGCAACGCTGTAGCAACTGCGCTCACGAACACGCCACTTCTGACTGCCCTGCGGATGGAGCTGTGGCGTTAAAATGCGCCAACTGTGGTGGTACACATCAAGGTTCTGACAGACAGTGCTCCAAACGCGAGGACTTCAAACGCATCCGAAAGCAGGCGTCAAGCAACAATCAACCAGGACGCAAGAAGGACAAAATCCCGGCATTTCGTACGGAGGATTTCCCGCCTCTTCGTACTCCTCAGCAAAGGCAAGAAAATTCGCGGGTGCATCCCGCTTGAGCAATTTCCGGTGATTCTGCTGGCCAAAGCGCTCCATCTCCCCTGGATTCTGAAGACAACCAACAGCGCAAAACAACAACCCCGATCTGTTCTCAGCGGATAAACAGATAGAGATTTTCGTCAACATGTCCGGTGCTCTTCGTAAGTGCCGCAATAAGCCCGAACAGATCCAAGTGCTCGGTAAGTTCATCATCCAGTATGGCGTCTAAACCGCTAAGTATCGTCACCTGGAATGCTTGCTCTGTAAGAGCAAAAGAGATTGAGCTTGCCGACTTCCTCCGCAAGCACAGCATCGACGTGGGCCTTCTAACCGAGACCCATCTAAAGTCCGGTGACAGCTTCTGGTTGCCTGACCACAACATTATTTGGCTTGATCGCACCAGCTCCAGAGGGGGTGGTGTTGCGGTCGTCGTCAAGAAAGGAATAAAATACCACACTTTGTCCCATATCCGCACCTCCATCATCGAGGCCCTTGGTGTGGAGGTGGAGTCATCGACTGGATACGTCCAGTGCATCGCCGTCTACTGCTTTCGACAGTGTGCCACCAGCAGTGGACTAGCGGCTGAATTCAAGAAGGACCTGTCCACCATCACCCGTACTGATTCCCGCTTAGTAGTTGGAGGAGATCTCGCCATGAAACCTGGCGAAACTACCAGCAGAACCAGAACGGTCGTTTGCTGTTCGACCATTCGCAGCATGGGCTGTACTCCGTTTGGTTTTCGAATGAGCTTCATCTCACCGGCGGGCAACCCATCGACGCTAGACCTGTTCCTGACAAATACCGGCTTGTCCAAGCCGGTAGCCTTGAGCGAACTCAGGTCCGACCACCAACCGGTGGTGGCTGAACTGGGCTACAACGTGGCCCTTGCTCCTAGTCTGCACAAGGACTACCACCGCGTAAACTGGGCTCAGTTTGGACGCGTGGTAGACAGGCACATCATCGAAAACCCGCCGCTTGACACCGTGGAGGACATCGACTGAGCGTTGGAGGGACTCCACCAAACCATAAACGTGGCTGATGAGGCGTGCGTCCGACGAGTTTCTGTGAGGGGTAAGTTTATTGCCATTGATTCTCACACCCAACTCTTGATTTGCCTGAGAAATGTTCGTACACGCCAGTTTCAGACGACTGGAGATCTGGGCAAAAAACGTGAAAACGTGCCCAATTTTAAAAATCACCGCAACCGAGGGTAAGGTGACGATATATCGTTTTTAAATATTCCAGAAAAATATTCCCCTAATCGTTTCTAACAAACAAAAACTCACAGACAGCAGTATCGTAACATGCTTTAGTTAGGCAACATACGTCCATCATCGGAAAAACATACTAAAATTAACATGTTATCGTTAATTTTCTTCATCGGGGCTCTTCTCCCCACAGTATACCATCTTCCCACAGTATACCAAACCACCGTCCTCTGTTCGAATGAAACCTCAGACCATTCAAATCGAAACATTGAAATCGCCTTTTCGAATGGTAGCTGCAACCGGATGACAGTTGTTTCGAAATCAGATGATTTTCCTCTCGAATACATTGTTATGAGAAGAGATAGGACCTTCAGTTGGAATGCGTTAGTCTTCTTAAATTAAAATTCATTTGGTATTGGTTCAGCCCCTTAACGCAAATCATTCAAAACGATGATGTAAATAATTAACCACTTCATTTGAGCACTTAAAATGACGTTTTCTACCACTCGAACTTTGAAATAAAATATTATTTTGAGATTTTTTCCTCTAGAACCTCGAGAAAAGTAGTCAAAATTTGTGTGTTTCATAAAAAAATAGAAATTAGTTGGTCCAGTTTTGTGAAATCGCTGGTAGAAAGTCACGCCAAAACTGCTTGACAAAGTGGTCAATTCTATCGAACACCATTTGATGCTCTGAGCAGACAAACGAGGAGGAAGCATTGCCATCGCTATTGGTAAAGAGCGGAAACCGTCAATTCTAGATTGAGCTGGAATTAGGGCCTATCAGCTTTTGTAAACAATGACTTCCCTCGGTAATTTCTCGAAAGCCATGGCTCTTACTAGGAAATCGACATCACCATCGAGTAGGGGAAGACTTCCCCTACCCGATAGATATGTTGGTTTGTGTAGGCGTGCCTTGAATTCCTAGAAATCAACGAGAGAAGTCATTGTTTACAAAGGCTGTTAGGCCCTAATTCCAGCTCTATCTAGAATTGTCCATTTCGTGGTGGAGGAAGTTTCCTCTGCCAACGATGAATGGCTGTTCAGGGCTATTCAATATGGAAAAGTGAACAATCGGTTTAATAATCTAATCTTAAAAAATTGCAAGTTAGGATTGGGCGATCTTCAGGGTACAATTAATAACTATATTTACGCAATTTGAAAGAAATAAAAATAGCCAGATTTTTCATTTCCATGTACTCGTACTAATTGTGCTAGATTTGTTTGTTTATCAGAAGAACTTATTTCGAAATTCCTTAAATGGAGACGGTAAGATTTTTCTGCAATGGAATTAATGCCACAAATGCTTTCAATTGTCAAGATCAATTGCAAAAAATTGTAAAAATGTGACTACAGTCATCATAACCCCATATCATGGAATATTAGCTTGATAACGTGGAACTAGGTACTCGTCTTTGTTGCCACCTATTTCATATAACATTAGGAGCGATTATGGTGTTGCAGATTTTTAGGTTATGTTCATTAAATTTTCCAAATGCTTTGGTATGAAAACAAAACGATATTTCGATACACATTGGGAAAAAATTACTTTCATTTGTTTCCTTGAAGATAGAACAGAAATATCGATTTTTACGATTTTTTAATAATCAAAACATTGATCCTAAAAATCGAACATCGAGATGAAAAAGATCGATTTTTCAAAGATCGATCCAAGATCGCCCAATCCTATTACAAGTAATCCTATCTTATAATTATTGTCCTCTGAGCCCTATATGTTTTACAGCCAAGTTTCAAATGAATATCATACTTTATTTGGGGGACAGTCCCACTGCATGATGATGATAATGTTGACAAACTGCATATCAAATTCGTGAAAATTAGCATTAAATCATAATTTTCATCAAGCCTGCGTACAATCCTTCCAATATTAAATTCGAATTGAAGAAGAAAACGTTTTTACGATCAAACTGATGTGCATCTTTGACTTTTCCAGATGAACTTTAATAAGATATATTC